TAGTTTGGAGAAGAGGAGGCTGAGAGGAGACCTCATTGCCCTCTACAACTACCTGAAAGGAGGTTGGCCTCCTCTTCTGAGGGTGGGTGTTGGCTTGTTCTTCCAAGGGAATAATGACAGGAGCAGAGGAAATGGTCTGAAGTTGTGGCAGGGGAGGTTTAGATTAGAATTAGGAAGAATTACTTTCCTGAGAGGGTGGTCAGGCCCTGGAACAGCCTGCCCAGGGAGGTGGTGGAGTCACCATCCCTGGAGGTATTTAAGAAACGTGTAGACGTGGCTCTTCAGGGCATGCTCTAGTGCCCAAGATTATTGGTTTGTGTGTGGGTGTGATGTGGTGGGGTGTTGTGTTTTTTGTTTTGTTGGTGGTGTGTTTGTGGTTTTTGTTTGTTTGTCTGTTTGTTTGCTTTTTTTTGTTTTTTTAAGGTTGGACTCGATGATCTCAGAGGTCCCTTCCAACCATGGTGATTCTGTGATTCTGTAAGAATGGGCAAAGAAAGAGACTGGTTGCTTGTAATGTTTTTCTTCAAGATGTCCATGTGGGATACACATTTATCTTTTTGCTGTTCTTCCATTTCTTCCTCGAAGTCCTGGATATGTATTCCTGGTTTTGGGCTCTATGTCTTTGGCAGCAGGAGAAGAAGGGCTGAGGACTCTATTCCTATGATTACAGCTGAGGAAAAAACTCTAATTTTTGATTCATGAGGCACAAGATACATTCAGGGTTCAAATACACATGTGTATTATACACCTTGGAGATACTGGTTACTGGTAGAATGACTAAAACCCCTGGAGGTGGATGTACTGATGCTCAGATGGGGATGATTAGAAAACTACCTTATGGATTTGGGTCTGTCTTTTCAAGTAGAATAATCTATATAAATTCTCATCCCAGTTTTTGCTGAATGTGTGAAAAGGGAGTTAACCCTGAAAATAGCATTTTCAAAATGGTATTTCAGCTGTGCTGGAAGCTGGTGCTGTGCTGACCTTGGGGGAAAACTCAGGCTTTGGTCCCGCACTGGAGTAACTGGTCCTGGTTTAGTGTGGCTGTTTGTGTGCCACTGGTACAGGTTAGAGGGTGCTGGTTACACAATACTGCAGTTAACAAGACCCTTCAAAAAAAAAAAAAACCAACAAAGCCACCACCACCAAAAAATAAACCCAACCAAAAACTCAACCACATAAGAAAACCCCAAAACAACAAGAACCCAGAATTCTTAAAAGGTATGTTAGTTTTGCTAAAAGTACCAGTTCAATGTCAAACTCCCTGGTTGTCTGCTCCCTGAAAAAACATCCTGTTTATGATAGCATTAACGCCATGAAAAAAAAGCCATTATCCATTTAATTTTAAGAGGGGTGAATCCAAGCTGTCAGCTTCAAAGCTCTCTACTTTGATTGCTATACACATGGGGCAGTTTGAAATACATGCTTGAGAAGATAATGAAAGACAGAAGCCTATTGTGTTCCCAGCTTGGCTTAACACTTTGGGTTTAACATTAGACATTGGCAGATGGTCTGAAAAATTCGGCATTTGCACAAAGCACAGTAGTGACAACATGAATTCAAGTGTGGTTTGCAGGTTTTGAAGTTTGGCACACAGTCAGCAGCTGGTGTGGGCCTTGGCTTGGGAGACGTCTTCGGTTCAGCATTTTTCTAGGAGGAAAAAACATGAAAATTCATATAAATGCAAAATGAGTCTGGGTCAGAAGAAAGCATAGGTGAAAAGACAGTGAATGGTGGGAACTTCTGCCTTGAGATGAGTATGCGGTTGCTACCAGTGAGACCTGTATTTAGAGCAATATAGAGATGTGGTGGGACCAAGTCATGGAAATACTGCTTAAGACCAACCTACTGAGCAAAATGGTAAACCTCATCAGCCCCATATTTTGAGCAATTAGAAACTTGACTGGATAGACTGAGCATTGGAAAATGTAGGGAAGAACGGGGCAGCAGCGAAGAAAGGGATGCAAGAATCTGCAAAGACACCAATGTTATCAGTAAAACAAAGCAAGGAATTACTCAGGAAACCCTGAATTTCTCAAATGAAAGAGTGAAACCTCCCTGTCCATTTGTGGGCCTGGTTCTCACTTTTTTCCCCAAGCTGCGAGAGAGGGGAGGTGGCTTGGCAATGATCCACCAATCATAGTTGGTTTGTCGAGCTGCCTTTGGAGCTCGGTAATCCTTCGTGCATCAGATTTGTGTGTGGGAATCTTCAACTGCAGGCACAGGTAATTGAGCTGAGAGAGATCTCTTGGCTTCCCCAAGGAATGATGCTTCTCTGTCTGGGATTTGCAAAAGTGGAAAACTTTGGGTTGACCAGCACATGCCTGGGACCTGGGCGAGATCTCTGGAGCCCACCGTCTAGAGGCATCCTATGCTCTTCTTTAACTTGGTAGTTTCTCAGGAATTTCAGTTTTAAGGTAAAATGTTCAGTGGTCTCTAAGTGCCTCAGGACCTTTTAAGTGAAAATACTTTGACAAAGTTTGATGGCAAGAATGTCCTGCTTTGCGCTGAAGGTGGAACTAAGTGATGTCCTGAGGCTCCTTTAAACCTGGGTCATCCTGTGGATTTAGGAAGTGTTTCAAGGAAGATTCATCTCACAAGACATCAATTAGAAAGGAAAAGAAGGATGTTTCTGGTTGCAGCAATGACTGGTTTGGCTATAAAATGCTATCATGACATTAAAAATAAAGAAAAATGCTATTTTCTACTCTTCTAGACAATCTTTCAAGTACAGGAGTCTAGCCCATGTAATACTTCACATTTGAGACTTATGGGTAACATCACATTAAGGAAATCTATCTGAATCTACTGATCTGATACAATTACTAGTTAACATTTACAAATGAATACCAACTTCTTTGTATGCTTTTAATTTTTTGACCCCATGGTTAAAAATCAGCAGATATTGAGTTTGTGCCCCCGGGCTGCAGAGCCCATAGAGTTAACCCACACGGTGGGACTGGGAATGACACTTCTTTATGGTGGGTGCCTAAATAATTTTAAAAATAACTCAATCAGCTCAAGATTAAAGTACCTTTTGTGTAAAAGAGGACTGTAAAAAACAAAAGCAAAAGCAAAACCAACAAGACCCCCTCCAAACCCAAACAATAACCTCGTACTACTCTAAGACCACACAGTTTTCTTTCCACCATTAATGTTTTGCATCTGTTTTTACAGTATTCAGAACTTCAAATTGTATGCAAATTATTTAAATTGGGGAATGGCTGTAAAAGCCTTGCAAATGAATGCACTGAGGAAAACCACAGAAGCAAAAACCTATTCTAATTCAACGATGTTTTCTGAACAGCCACCTACCTTGGAAGACTTCTTGTTCTCTGCTTCTTTCCTGCTGACTTTCTGGGACCTTTTAGTTAAGTCTTCAAAGAGAATAGCACAAAATAATAGAAAATCAATGTTACAGCAGACGTTATTTAATTGAGCTGGTTAATAGTAGTTTTGTGTGAGAGAAGGGGGGTAACCTTCTCTCCTCCTCATCACTGTGTGTTTCGCAGGAGCCGTCCTCCCTTACGCACCTCATGGCTGAGCTCCTGCCAAGCAGAAGCACTGGTGTTTGCATTTCAGGAGGGCTTTTTGACACATTGCTTGGTCAGATGTGAACAGGGAAAATAATTCCAGAGAAATAAAACTAAAGGTCTCTGTTTAAAAGGTGGAGGTACTTATGCACATTAGTCATGTGAACAAAAATAGGAAAAAACTTTAGAATCCCATATTTCTTTTTTCTGTTAAAAGGTGGTGTTACCAGCATCATTTTAGCAGGAATTAACAAGTGTAGGCTGGTTTTCACAAGCGAAAACCCTCTTTGATAGTTTGGCATAAGCTCTTCACCTGTGTGATGCCATCTCTCATTCTTCAGTTCTTTGTTCCTTTCTCAATTACCATCCAGTTTTACAAAATGTTACTTGCAAAGGTGTTTCATTAATGTGCCTGTAGGTTTGAGAGCTTTGTGAATATTTGTAGAGTTGAAGCTTGGATCTGGTAAATTTGGGGTGGGGGTGCTGAGACTGTGCCTGATGGAGCGTTTGTTTTGGGTTTTTTTTAGATCGAATCATTAACATTTGTGAACTTCCTCATACTGCCCCTTGAGGGCTCATAGCATTTACTGCACTTGTTGTTGTTATTACTATAATATCTGTATCGTATCAGTAGCTCTGATGCTATTTATTACTATATATATTATATAGTATATTCCTATATACCATATAATGCTATTTATTTCTATATATATTACTATATATATATAGCTGATACATATTACTATACATACGCTATGTATAATCTCCATGACTAAGACTTGTCTTGGGATCCAACATGGCAAGATTTTGAAGCGTGTGACACTTCCCAGCTCACTGATCTCTTCTGGTGTTTTTGATACCTTAGAGCAGCCTTCCAGGATCTGAAGGGAGCCTACAGGAGAGCTGGAGAGGGACTCCTTGTCAGGAATTATAGCTATAGGATGTGAGGGGTAATGGTTTTAAACTGAAAGAGGGGAGATTTAGATGAGATAATAGAAAGAAATTCTTCGCTGTGAGGGTGGTGAGAGCCTGGCCCAGGTTGCCCAGAGAAGCTGTTTGTGTGCCACTGGTACAGGTTAGAGGGTGCTGGTTACACAATACTGCAGTTAACAAGACCCTTCAAAAAAAAAAAAAACCAACAAAGCCACCACCACCAAAAAATAAACCCAACCAAAAACTCAACCACATAAGAAAACCCCAAAACAACAAGAACCCAGAATTCTTAAAAGGTATGTTAGTTTTGCTAAAAGTACCAGTTCAATGTCAAACTCCCTGGTTGTCTGCTCCCTGAAAAAACATCCTGTTTATGATAGCATTAACGCCATGAAAAAAAAGCCATTATCCATTTAATTTTAAGAGGGGTGAATCCAAGCTGTCAGCTTCAAAGCTCTCTACTTTGATTGCTATACACATGGGGCAGTTTGAAATACATGCTTGAGAAGATAATGAAAGACAGAAGCCTATTGTGTTCCCAGCTTGGCTTAACACTTTGGGTTTAACATTAGACATTGGCAGATGGTCTGAAAAATTCGGCATTTGCACAAAGCACAGTAGTGACAACATGAATTCAAGTGTGGTTTGCAGGTTTTGAAGTTTGGCACACAGTCAGCAGCTGGTGTGGGCCTTGGCTTGGGAGACGTCTTCGGTTCAGCATTTTTCTAGGAGGAAAAAACATGAAAATTCATATAAATGCAAAATGAGTCTGGGTCAGAAGAAAGCATAGGTGAAAAGACAGTGAATGGTGGGAACTTCTGCCTTGAGATGAGTATGCGGTTGCTACCAGTGAGACCTGTATTTAGAGCAATATAGAGATGTGGTGGGACCAAGTCATGGAAATACTGCTTAAGACCAACCTACTGAGCAAAATGGTAAACCTCATCAGCCCCATATTTTGAGCAATTAGAAACTTGACTGGATAGACTGAGCATTGGAAAATGTAGGGAAGAACGGGGCAGCAGCGAAGAAAGGGATGCAAGAATCTGCAAAGACACCAATGTTATCAGTAAAACAAAGCAAGGAATTACTCAGGAAACCCTGAATTTCTCAAATGAAAGAGTGAAACCTCCCTGTCCATTTGTGGGCCTGGTTCTCACTTTTTTCCCCAAGCTGCGAGAGAGGGGAGGTGGCTTGGCAATGATCCACCAATCATAGTTGGTTTGTCGAGCTGCCTTTGGAGCTCGGTAATCCTTCGTGCATCAGATTTGTGTGTGGGAATCTTCAACTGCAGGCACAGGTAATTGAGCTGAGAGAGATCTCTTGGCTTCCCCAAGGAATGATGCTTCTCTGTCTGGGATTTGCAAAAGTGGAAAACTTTGGGTTGACCAGCACATGCCTGGGACCTGGGCGAGATCTCTGGAGCCCACCGTCTAGAGGCATCCTATGCTCTTCTTTAACTTGGTAGTTTCTCAGGAATTTCAGTTTTAAGGTAAAATGTTCAGTGGTCTCTAAGTGCCTCAGGACCTTTTAAGTGAAAATACTTTGACAAAGTTTGATGGCAAGAATGTCCTGCTTTGCGCTGAAGGTGGAACTAAGTGATGTCCTGAGGCTCCTTTAAACCTGGGTCATCCTGTGGATTTAGGAAGTGTTTCAAGGAAGATTCATCTCACAAGACATCAATTAGAAAGGAAAAGAAGGATGTTTCTGGTTGCAGCAATGACTGGTTTGGCTATAAAATGCTATCATGACATTAAAAATAAAGAAAAATGCTATTTTCTACTCTTCTAGACAATCTTTCAAGTACAGGAGTCTAGCCCATGTAATACTTCACATTTGAGACTTATGGGTAACATCACATTAAGGAAATCTATCTGAATCTACTGATCTGATACAATTACTAGTTAACATTTACAAATGAATACCAACTTCTTTGTATGCTTTTAATTTTTTGACCCCATGGTTAAAAATCAGCAGATATTGAGTTTGTGCCCCCGGGCTGCAGAGCCCATAGAGTTAACCCACACGGTGGGACTGGGAATGACACTTCTTTATGGTGGGTGCCTAAATAATTTTAAAAATAACTCAATCAGCTCAAGATTAAAGTACCTTTTGTGTAAAAGAGGACTGTAAAAAACAAAAGCAAAAGCAAAACCAACAAGACCCCCTCCAAACCCAAACAATAACCTCGTACTACTCTAAGACCACACAGTTTTCTTTCCACCATTAATGTTTTGCATCTGTTTTTACAGTATTCAGAACTTCAAATTGTATGCAAATTATTTAAATTGGGGAATGGCTGTAAAAGCCTTGCAAATGAATGCACTGAGGAAAACCACAGAAGCAAAAACCTATTCTAATTCAACGATGTTTTCTGAACAGCCACCTACCTTGGAAGACTTCTTGTTCTCTGCTTCTTTCCTGCTGACTTTCTGGGACCTTTTAGTTAAGTCTTCAAAGAGAATAGCACAAAATAATAGAAAATCAATGTTACAGCAGACGTTATTTAATTGAGCTGGTTAATAGTAGTTTTGTGTGAGAGAAGGGGGGTAACCTTCTCTCCTCCTCATCACTGTGTGTTTCGCAGGAGCCGTCCTCCCTTACGCACCTCATGGCTGAGCTCCTGCCAAGCAGAAGCACTGGTGTTTGCATTTCAGGAGGGCTTTTTGACACATTGCTTGGTCAGATGTGAACAGGGAAAATAATTCCAGAGAAATAAAACTAAAGGTCTCTGTTTAAAAGGTGGAGGTACTTATGCACATTAGTCATGTGAACAAAAATAGGAAAAAACTTTAGAATCCCATATTTCTTTTTTCTGTTAAAAGGTGGTGTTACCAGCATCATTTTAGCAGGAATTAACAAGTGTAGGCTGGTTTTCACAAGCGAAAACCCTCTTTGATAGTTTGGCATAAGCTCTTCACCTGTGTGATGCCATCTCTCATTCTTCAGTTCTTTGTTCCTTTCTCAATTACCATCCAGTTTTACAAAATGTTACTTGCAAAGGTGTTTCATTAATGTGCCTGTAGGTTTGAGAGCTTTGTGAATATTTGTAGAGTTGAAGCTTGGATCTGGTAAATTTGGGGTGGGGGTGCTGAGACTGTGCCTGATGGAGCGTTTGTTTTGGGTTTTTTTTAGATCGAATCATTAACATTTGTGAACTTCCTCATACTGCCCCTTGAGGGCTCATAGCATTTACTGCACTTGTTGTTGTTATTACTATAATATCTGTATCGTATCAGTAGCTCTGATGCTATTTATTACTATATATATTATATAGTATATTCCTATATACCATATAATGCTATTTATTTCTATATATATTACTATATATATATAGCTGATACATATTACTATACATACGCTATGTATAATCTCCATGACTAAGACTTGTCTTGGGATCCAACATGGCAAGATTTTGAAGCGTGTGACACTTCCCAGCTCACTGATCTCTTCTGGTGTTTTTGATACCTTAGAGCAGCCTTCCAGGATCTGAAGGGAGCCTACAGGAGAGCTGGAGAGGGACTCCTTGTCAGGAATTATAGCTATAGGATGTGAGGGGTAATGGTTTTAAACTGAAAGAGGGGAGATTTAGATGAGATAATAGAAAGAAATTCTTTGCTGTGAGGGTGGTGAGAGCCTGGCCCAGGTTGCCCAGAGAAGCTGTGGCTGCCCCATCCCTGGAGGGGTTCAAGGCCAGGTTGGAGGGGGCTTGGAGCAACCTGGTGTGGTGGGAGGTGTCCCTGCCCAGGGCAGGGGGTGGGAACTCAATGATCTTTAAGGTCCCTTCCAACTCTAAATTCTATGATTCTATGATACCTTTATTCTGTGCGTGTGAGGTTTGTGACAGGTAGTACTTGTGTGTAATTAATGATCGGGATAAAAAATTCACATATGGCCACCAATGAATGATGGCTCCTTATCTATTCCAGTATTTGCTATTCGTATCTTTTTTGTATATTTAATAATTGTCAGGATTTACAGAATGAAGAATACACATTTTGGGAGGGTTGTAGGGAGCTGTGTGTGTCTTCATTTCTTATCCTTGCATCATTATAGTTAGGGTAATACGTCTCTAAGAAACTGTGGGATGGAAAACTATACTTCAAGTATCTAAAGTTATTGTCATTTAATAAGAGCACGTCTGAAAAAAGGCATTGCTCTAGCTGGGATTAGTGGTGTAGATCCAGTTGCAGCTGGCAGATTAAGTTGGCTTTGCTATGCTGCCCTTTGAAACTTCCTGACGATAACCAAGATGCTTGTAAGCCATTTAAGTCTACATTAATTTAACTTTCTATTTGTACAGGATTGTGTGGATTGCTTCGCCTAGAAAATTTTTTCGATAACATTCAGTTAAAGGGTATATGATAGCATTATACGGAGATTTAACCATTGGCATTATGTAAATGTGCTTGAATTGTTCCAGGGGAAATGGCAAAGAAGAAAATGATGCTCAGTGGGCAGATGAGAAGGAAATGTAGACATTTATACTTTTTTTTGAGAGGTGAATGCTGTAATTGTCTCTTCTGTGGTTCCTCTGGGTTGTGTAAAACACCCGCTTTTCCCAGTTGGCCTCTAATCCCATATTCTTCATGCTCTACCTACTGCATTTCCAACAGCTCCCCAGCTGGCCAGGTCCTTTCAAATCTCATCCGTGGCAATACAGCAAAATGTAATACAGGCTCAGGAAAATATTGATAACACAGCTTTAACCCCTGTTGATACAACTGCGATTTGAAGTGCTATAAAAAGCATGTATTAATTAAATGGTTGCACGTTTTACTAGTTGGTGCTGGCAAATCCTCTGCTTGCCTTTTTGGATGTGATTCAACTCCAGTCTCGGATTTTATTCAATTTCAGCCAGACATATCACCTTTTGATACCATGAGCACTGTGATTGATTGACGGGTGTATAAACAGTTGATTGCAAGTGAGTTTTATTACTCAAATATGGCTGCAGCAACATTTAAAAACCAGGCTGTACCATGAGGGCCTTCATCTCTGCTCTGTGTGACCAACCAGGAAGAATGGAACTTGGTATAAGAAAATGTCACTGAGATAGGAAGTGCTATCTAAAATGTTAAAATCAAGCTGAGAAGAAATTTTTCTCTTAGTTCGTACAAAAATAGATTATGTATATCAGCATGATAAAGTATAGCTGATAAATCGTAAAGAAATTGACAGTATCAGAAGGGAGGGGAAGATGTGGTTATTTAAATATTCTCTAAATATTTGCTCTAAATTATTTGTTTCTGTGGTGGTGATGGGACAGACCAATGTGTCAGCCTTTTGCCATGACACTGTTGTTATAATAAATATTAGCACGTGTGGCATCATCGTCCCCCTGGAGAGCTATGAGGTTCTGCTGGGGCTGGAGGCACCTCTGTCTCTGCCCTGCCTGCTCCTCCTGGGGCTTTTTCCAGCTGCTGTCCCCTCTTTGCATTAGTTTCTCCTATTTCGACCTGTTTCCATCCTCTCCCGGGCTTTCTCCAGGGCAGCCTCCCTCCCTCCGGCAACTTTTCCCACTCTTTCCAGCAGCCAGTGCCATGAGGGACACGGCTCCGTGCCTTACTCCGGCTGCTGCATGAAGCACAGAACCTGACAAAAATCAGGGAAAAAGGCTCGGCCTCCAGTTATGTCTCACAACAGGCTGGAATGAGTCAGGTGATGTTATTCCCAGCTCACTTTGGTGAAAATGATGAGATCTGGTGCCAACCCCCTGCTCTGGTGCCTTGATCTGGTCACCTGAACCCCAAAACAGCGACAGAACATGTCCTTTCTCCTGAACCTTTTTTCTCTACCCATTTGAAAGGCTGGGGACTTTCAAATGCTCTTCACATGCCATGCATTAATATATGCTTTCAATTGATTTCCATCTAGTTTATCAAGTTATAATTCAATTATTTTAGTTAATAAGTGATAGAGGTGGTGTGGTTTCTGGCTGTCTGAAATAAAACCCAGAAAGGCTTGAGCATGTGCCATTTCAGGTCCAAAATGAACTATTTCAAGATGTAGGTGTGGGGTAGTGGAGGGTCAGAGCGGCCCCTTGTCTTTGGACAAGTTAGCTGCAGAAAGGCCTTGAGATACCTCTGGAAATGCCTCATGCCCCAAGAGAGTGAGTGCAGCCCTGTCCATTGGTGTTCCTGTGGGGTTTGTGTCTGTATTTTCCTTTTAGGAATAGTCAGCCAAAGCAAGGGGACTATGGAAGAGGTGAACATTATGCCAAGATCTGCCCTTTTGAATTATTTTTGTATTTTCAGCATCAAATGTTCATTCTGTTTGTATGCACGGAGGAGAAGAATGGGTGTGAAGGTGAGGTGGAGGTTACGCTGTTTGCTTAGATTCAGCCCTCAGTCTATTATGGGTTTCTTTCCTTATCTTGGCTAATTATGTCACCTCTGTTGACTATAAATGGGAAAGCAGTGCAGCTGGGCTTCACCATGGAGAGATGAGGCCACATGGATGCTTTTGCGATCGAACAGGGCAGAGAGGGAGGATGGGTTTTTGGGAGGCATTGCAGAACCCTCCAAAGTGAGAGGACCTGGCAGCGTCAGGAGGTTTTTGCTATGTTGGCTGTCTGTTGGCAAAGCGAGATGGGATGACATAGCCCATCTGCTGTGTTTAAGGCACGGCGACAAGCGAGAAGACAGAGAAATGAGTTGAAGGGAATGTGGTTTGTATCTCCAATTTTAATTGCAATAAAAAAAATCATTGGAAGTATGAGACTGAAGGCATCTAGGATCACAAGGACCGTGAAATGATATGGGTTGGGCGAATGCAGAACAGCACATGCTTTAACAAACTTGCAGTTAAACAACCCTGAGTTAACTCAGGATTCAGAGGTTCAGATTTCATTGGGAATGCACGTGTGGGGGAACTGTTTCTCCTTAAAGAAATGCTCTCCTGAGCAAGAGCGCAGAGAAAATACAGGAAACAAGGTATGAAACCAACCCGCTTTAGGCAAAAAGCCCTAAAAGCCTATAGAAAGGAGCTAAACAAGAACAGCTTTGGTTTTTGAATTATTAAAATTTTGACGCAGTTATGAATGACATTCTGCAGCTGAGGCTTGAAAGAGCTAGGGCAGACACTAGAAAAAAAATTTCTGAAGAAAAGAGTTAAGCATTGCCCTAACACAGTTCCTCCCTAACAGGACAGCGGTAGGGACAAGGTTGTCCTGTCTTGGATAAAGGAATGACCCCTGGCTTCTTCCTTGCACTGCCCTTTTCTTCCCCTGGTTAGAGATGACTTGGCACACAGGTAAACCGAGGTCATATTAATACCTTAGAGAACTGGAGATTTCTCTACCACAAGAGCAGATCCCAAAAACCCCAAAAGTTTTGTTCGCTTTTTCTATTTGCACTGGTCTTTCACAGGAAGATTAATGCCCATATTAATAGAAAAACACTTCTCTTCAATATAGAAAGTCTTACAGTATGATGGGACCTGAAGTGAAATAGGTAAAAACTAAAATATGTTGTCTGATTTATATTTTTCTTAATACTCTAGACTTTGCCACACTGCCATTCTTGGATGCTGTGGCTGCATTGCCACTAAGGCATTTGTATGACATTGCAGTGTTGCAGTAAGCAATCAAAATATCCCATATTAATCAACAATTGTATTCTATGCAAAACTTGTTAATTTGGCACCAAATGGTAGCTTTTACTAACCTACTATGGAGATGGGTGGGAGATCTTGGAGGTTCATCTTGTTGCTCCTTGGCAAGGTGCATTCTGTCTTCTCTTCTATTACCATGTGGGAAGCGGCGGCTCTGAGCAAACTGTAGCAGAGCAATAGGCTTAGGAAGAGGTTCTTACTTTCCATCCTGGGGAGGAAAAATTCCATTGTCATGAAAACTAAAGTCGGTCAAAACCTGCATGTAGAAGAGACGCAAGGATGGGAAGCTCAGCAATGGTTTTCTACGATGTCATGCAGCTTCAGCAACATACCTTTGCTGAATCTTTGGTTTCCACCACTTCACCTCTGTTACCTAAATACCTAAGATTGCAGATGTCTGAGTGGAAACATGCTATGTCAGACACATCTCCCTCCAGTAGTCTTTTTTTCTTGATTCTTTACTCAAAAGGCTTTTTTTCCCAAAAGCTGTGAGTTCTCCCCACTGAGTTTTACAGTGCTGTTGATTGTATGACTGAGGGGGGGAGAACTTCTGCTGCCACTTTTGACAGCTCAATTGCATCATCAGATTTTTCCCAGAAAATCTTGTTTACAACTTCAGGCTAGAAAACCTAGAAAAATAAAGATAATTTAAAAAAACACAAACTATGTTTCCCATTAGTTTTCTCCATTTAAAAATAAGTCATGAAGAAATATCTTGTTTTATTATACCCTGATGTGGATGCTCTAATCCCATAGTGAATCACAGCCGTAACTTACGCAAGTTATTAAAGGCCCAGTGCTGTAAAACATTCATGAGCCTTAGGGCTTAGTATGTACTTAATAACTTCTAAGCTGGAACAAAGTCTATGGGATTTGACCATGCCTATGGAGAAACCTGAGCTTTGCAGAGTGTGGCTGGCCCTGGCCAACCTTGGGACTACACAGTGCAGCTGTAGAGGGTACTCAGAGCCCATCATCATCCTGCGCTCCTTTTATTATAGATTCTTAGCACTGTTGAAGTTCAAAGTTGATTTTTATTTCCATGTGCATTAGTTTCATGCCGTTTCAGTTATGGGAGCCGTCGCCCAGAGGCTCTGCCAGCCTCCTGATTTATGGGTAGCTTTTTGACAGTGAAAAGCTACTAGCAGCAGTAAAAAGAGGGAGTGAAACCAAATGTTCTGAGCAATTAATATGGTTGTAATGACTTTATTATGAGAGAGTTAAAAGATGAAGAACTTCTGCATTGGAAGAGTTTCGATCTAATCACTGAGACTCTGTTACACTTCAGGTTATTTAGGTCATAATCACAACCATTCAGGTAAAAATTAGAACTTCTTTTTATGTAACTGATTTTACCGACGTGAGTATCCCTGGTGATATTCATATTCTAGGTATATGCTTAAAATTAAAAAAAAAAAAAAAGAATAACAGCTTGTGTTCCCCAAAACCTGTCTATGTTTTCCAAATATGCAGTTGGTCAAATAAAATAAAGTACTTAAAAAATCTTAGCTTACTTAGCATTTAATTATGCTATTTTTTGCAGGATCTAGGTATACAGGAAAGAAAGAAATTTTTTACACTGAGGGTGGTGAGACACTGGCCCAGGTTGCCCAGAGAGGTGGTAAATGTCCATCCCTGGGAATATTCCAAGTCAGGTAGGATGGGGCTCTGAGCAACCTGGTTGAGTTGGAGATATCCCTGCTAATGGTAGAGGGGTTGGAGTAGATGTCCTTCAAAGGTCCTTCAAACCCATTGACAGCCTATGACAGGTAGATGTAGACATTTGGGCTCTAATTTTTTCCATGCTCTGAGCTGGAGTGAAGAGAGCAAGCTGTGAGCTGGAAGCTGTTTAGATTTGCACTTAGTGGTGTTTATGTTGTAGATTTTGGTTTTTTAAGCAACTTTTTAGCCCAGTTGCAGAATATACTGTATAACATACCTATGATTTTTAGATCAGTGTATGGTGCCCATCTGGAGTATTGTCACAGCTGGCACATAACTGGCTAACGGAGACAAAGCCGACAGGCCCCCAGAGTACTGTTTAAATAAAATTCCTCCACCCCAAAATGTTGTTTCCATTATACTTCCTTGTCCTTATCTCAGCAAAACTGAGGAAACTCAGCCAATGAATGTGATGACTGAAAATTCAGCCAATGAATGCAATTGTGCCTGTGCAAATGTAACAAAATAGTAAAGTCTGACAGCTTGCATCTGCTCACTTCAAGCAGGGTGACATCTGAACACGCTCTAGTGTTAGAATCCAAACCTAGCTGCATGTGTTCATTTCAATTCTTGTGCACATGGGGGTTTTTTTTGCCAAAAGCACTTAGGTGGTAGGAATTTTACAGCCTCTGAGTGACTGTTTGAACCTGGAAAATGCATATATTGGTGAATATGCATTTGATTTGCAAACTATACCAACTGGCTGGAAAGGTAACGCTCCTCAGAGCAGCCGCCGTCTGCTCGATGTGTGCAGCAGAGCTCATGAAAAGGTGAAAGAGGGGGAAAGTGGAATCAGAAGTGAAGATGAGAAAAAAGGTGTATGTATCATTTTTTGCATCATATCACAAAATCCTTGTCCAAGTTTTGTTTTTTTTTTTTTTTGGCATAAAAGAGACACTAACTTTCCAATTTTGCTCATTATTTTCCTAATTTTCCTTCTGGGACTCATCAGAGGCTGTTTAAGGCAATCAACCTATTTTCCTTGGCTCCAGCGAGGTTCACATCTGCTTTTCTACGAACACTTAGTTTTAAAAGAGTTTATTTTCCTATTGAGCTCTTAACAATGGACAAGTAAATTGCTTAAATAGTAGTATCTTTATAGAATTACTGTTTATTGCTTTAATGAAACTAAAATGTACTAGGAGAATTTTAACATGTTTTAATTGCTGTTTATGGGGACACAGCACTGAAATCCTCAGCCACCGAATGTTAGCCCTGACCTTTAGCTGCAGTTCAGCAAATTATGTAAGTAAATAGTTAACATGTGGCAGTGCCCTTTATTGTCAAGGGAATGACAGATGTACATTTTAAACCAAAACAAAATCAAGCATTTAAAAATCTGTTGACTGTCATCAGAGATCACAGTACCCTTTTCCATGCCATTTCCTCTGAGCTTTGGCTCATTATGTTTAATGTGTAAATAGAGTATTTTAATACTTACCCAAATTGTTAGCCCTCACAAGTGCTTTTCCTGAATGTAAATTTGGAAAATGACAGATGATGGGAAACAGATTTTGTCTTTTTTTAATCTATTTTCAGTGATGTATTAAAAGTCTTCATGAAGAAATTTGATTTCCCCGGAAACACCCTGTACATTCAACACTTTTGAGGGGAACTCATTTCCTGTCACAGCTGATTTCATTCTTTTCAGAGATTTATCCCCATAAAACACAGAGTGAACAGTTTGAGACATTCATACATAAAGTCTGCCATAAACACTGGAAGGGACAAGTTGAAATTTTCTTAGGAGGTCTGGCAAATTTGGACCAACTCATAAATAAAACAGCATCTTTATAAATGGTTGAAAACAGCTGCTTAGAAAAAGAAAATGTTTAAGTATGTGAACAAAGAAATGTAAAGTATTGAAAACTGTGTTACATTGCTCAGTAACTGGCTGACAAATCTTTGCCTACACTATGTTGCTGTGCTCTGATTTGGAAAAGGATAGGACAGAAAAATAGGGAATGCAAGTGAAAATGCAAGGAAAAAAGCAAGAATTAGTGAATGCCTTGAAAGACGTTGAGATGTCTGATGTGACTTGATGGGAAGGTGTATAGATGCAACAACCATAAGAGCTGTGCCAAACAAATTTTAATTCCTGGCTCAATTCCCTAAGCTAACTACAAAAATCAAAAGCTATTTGGGCAATCAGGTTGGCCAGGTATGATTTGCCTTTGGTATATCCATGCTTGCTCTTTGCAATTCCTCTTTGTCCTTCCTGTGGCTGGAAACGGCTTCAAGGAATATTTTCTCTACCCACTTCTCAGGGACTGAGGTCAGCCCAGCTTATCTGTAGTTCCATGAATCCTCTTCTTGCGCCTCTTTGGAGATGGATGTGATGTTGGATGTGATGTTGGATGTGATGTTTCCTTTTTCCAGGCATGAGGAGCCTCCCCCAGTTGCCATGACCTTTCAAAGTGAGCAGCCTGGCAGTAGCATCATCCAGCACTCTGGGATGCACTCTGCTTGGTCCCATGGACTTTTCAATGTCCTGCTGGTTTAAGTGCCCTCTGTGCTGTGTTTCCTCTGCAGTGGATGATGCTGTGTTCCCAGAAGCCTTGTCTCCAGCCTCAGGCCAAAAGCAGACCTAGCCAGTCTGGGGAAGACATCAAGTACTTAATCTATGCGCATTCATACCGTGCTCCACTGACTGCTTGAGTCACTCTGGATATGCCCAAAGCCTCCCTTGGTTGTGTGGTTGTTGGCTGTGTGGTTGGGCAGCAACAGGTCCAGCACGAGGCTCCAGAGGAGCTTTGGCAGTCTCTCCACAACTTCCCAAATCTCAGCCCCCAGCAAGCACCAAACCTTTGGAGTTTGGCAGATCTGGGCCTCATCTCCAGGAGGATGTCTCTGATGACCATCTCCCACAGCTTCCTCTTAATGTGAACATCAAGATCCTTATCCTTCTGGGTGCCAGCCAGTCTGCTAACACCTTCCTGCAGATCTTTCACCGGTGAGGTGGTACCCCAACGGCAGTGCTCCTTCCAGAGGTGTGAGGCACAAGAGGATGCCCAGGGCACCCCCTGCAGCCAAGACCAATAGCTGTATCCTCCTTCTGGGTGGTACAACACCGGAGTGGCAGCAGTGTGCCCTGCAGGTATCACCACTGTCTTCATGCCAGCCACAGTAGTCCCATGTGGACTCAAGTAGTGTCTACAGGGTGTCTTTGCATTGAGAGCTCCATGCTGTGATTCACGCTGGGCGGCTGCAGAACCCCAGTGTGTCTCCCCCATTCACACCCTCCCCCATGCATGTAATGCTGAATGGGCTGCTTTCACGTGAACATAACCATCACCTCACCACCTACCAATAATTATCATACCAAAAGTACTTTTTCTATCTCACTACCCGTGGCAAAGATGGAGGACAGCAGATCTCCTCATGTGCACATCCACCCCCTCCCTTTCACCGTAAGTGCAGGGTCAGTATAAAAGGCTTTTTCCTGTGGGAAATACACTATATATCCCCATCTGCTACTCATCATAA